AAAAAAAATAAATCCTGCAGCTTGAATAGTTATTTTTGTCTAAGATGAACCTCTGTGACTCGGTTTTCCCTTGATATTAAAGGTATCTCAAACTGCACAATATAGCCCCTCTACTCTGTTTCATCATGTCATTCAAACTACTGCAGCTCATACTGAATGAGCATTCAGACCCAACCCAATGCCATGCTTCTCATGGCTGCAACATGTTCAATAGAGGTACATATTTGTCCATCTTTTTATACACCTTTACCCATAATTCAGTCTGACATGTTTGGAAACGTTGGGATTCTCACTGGTGTTAAAAATAAAAGTCCTGTGAGTTAAAACAAGTCACTTGTAGTGATGGACCCAGGCTGCGTTAATCCCTGCACAATAAATAAGGTACATGGGGGGGGGTTCTCATTCAATTCTGTTTTTTTGTCTGTCATCTCGCAGTCCTCAGTCCTAGCTCCTCTTCGCCAGGATCAGGTGAGTCATATAGAGTCCTCGGTGGTATTAATTATATGATTCCAGCATGGCTGCCTCACCTTATTATCTCCCTACAACGCTTTCATCAATCAATAGCGAGTGGCTGACATTTGTCGTGTTATTGGGATTTGCTGTTTCATTTTTAAAAAAGCAAACTTTTTGCAGCCAAGCTTTAAATAGCCCATTGACCGCAGAATATTTGGTGGAGTGTGTGACAGGGAGAGCGAGGCGCTGCCAAGGAGTATGTGCGGTTTTGAGGAGCGCGAGTGAAAGAGAGCGTGTTTATGTGTGTGTTGGAGAGGAGCGCGGGGGGGTCGGGCTGCAGAGGGGCATTAGTGAATAGCTATGCTATTGCATCCTCCCAAGAGACCTCTAAAAAAACACACACATTGTCCCGTCCACACACACACACACACACACTCACACACACAGAGTACCTTAGTAGCGCGCTATGAACCCGCCTCCTTCATCCCCCCCAAAAAAACCTCCCATCTCGCTGCCATACCTCTATATCCTCGCACCGCCCCTACACTAAAGTCAGCACACATCTCTCCTTCGCCAGACGCACCGAGAGACGGTGGTGTGCGAGCAAGGGAGCCCGTGCGTATTTACGCTCTTCAGAGTGTGTGCATGTGTCCGGGCGCGGGGAGGAGGGGCGGAGAGTCCTGCGGCGCGCTGACAGGAGAGTCCCGCTTGTCTGAGTGAGAAGCACCGGACCCGGCAGCGGGTGATAAAGCCGTCAGAGAGAAGGAAGAACCGCACGCGATTGCTCGCTCATATTTGTCTTTTTTTATTGACTGCTCATCCGCGCGCGCTGTCCCGGCTGGCATTAACGCGCGACTGAGGAAGAAAGCAAACAAAAGTTGTCTATTAGAAGAAGGGTCCAAATTCAGCCCGAGCGGCTCCAGAGTTTATTTTTTGTTTTTTTTAGCATCCCTCTTTTCTTCCCTCCTTCTCCCCGTCCCTTCTGAGTGCGGAGCGGCAGAGGGAGGGACGGGAGAACCCGGGCGGGCGGACCGTGAAGCTGCGCGCCTCCCCTGCGGATGATCCACTGGATGCGGGGCGATGGATTAACAGCCTCCTACGGACCCCTGCCGCTGCTTCTTTTTTGTTGTTGTTGTTTTTTTGTTACCACCGCCGACCCCCTGTCCACCTCGGGATTATTTCAGCTCTCACCAACCTCCCCGACAATCCCTCTCGAGATGACCGAGGAATATGTTTTGCGGTGCGTCCTGATGCTCTGCTGTGCGCTCCTCTCGGCCAACGCGAGTAACTGGCTGTAAGTTGGACTCCACACTTATTTTACTCCTTGACTGTGGACCACATCTCTCTCATCTCGTTCACTTGACCTCCCCCTGTTCCTCCTCATCTTCACATGTCTGTCTACTCATCTTCCTCTGTCTTCTTTCACTCCAGCTCAGTTGCCGTTCAGGTTAATCGTTAACCATCACGTACACACACACACTCTCTCCCCCTCTCGCCCTGACTTAATAACTTACCAACACGGCTACATCCCCCCAGCAAAGACCTTTACAAAATAATAATAATAATAAAACGCTCACAGAAGCTCGTCTTCTTTTTTGGAAAGGTACAGGTTTCCCATAAAGGTGAAATTCCATATTCTTGATTGAAAAAAATAAGTTTTAAAATCCTCTATTTGAGGTCAGGTGGAAATGTGACAATAATGTGCACGTGCAGCCTGAAGAAAAAAAGTTGGCGTCTGGTGGCATTTTGTTTTGCTGAAGTATCAGGTGTTCTCTGCCAGCCTTTTTGCCATGACAACCCCATCTGTTCATAATAATTTGGAAATGATGTGAGCAAGAAGAACAACTTAATGTGCTCATTTCCTTGTAAATGACGAGAACAAATTGTGAAGCAGAATTTTTTTTTGACGTTTAGAAACTCTTCGAGGAGCCATTTGGGGTCCTGACCTGTGTTCTAATAAAAAGCTTTTTTTTCATAGTCCTAACTTCATATTTAGTCATCACCAACAGCTTTTAAGAGAAAGAATGACGCTGATGCTGTTAATACCAGGCGTGGGGCCATGTTCAGCTGCATTTGAGCTAAAGAATGAAGAAACTGTTGAAAAAAATTGTAATTTATCAAATTAACATATGTTAATATTATCAAATTATCAGTGCCTGAACACCACATGGATATTAGTACAATGATACTAAAATACTTCAAATTCCCCAAATAAATAAAGAAGTAGTAAGACCACTATCAGCTTACTACAGGGTATATCTCAGGAGACAAGGACAAATGCAAAGCTCAACCAGGTCATTATAAGATCAATGTCAGCCCGTGTAGGAATATTTGATATGTATCTGAAGCGGTCGGACTACGGTGGCTCTAAAGCTCTAAACTCACAGTGTGGCTTCCTGTGCCACCTCTTCCTGGGGGCCGGGCCGGTTGGGTCGCATGTGTGTGCCTGCTCTCCCCGCAGCCTGTGTAGGAGGTGGTTAGGTGGGTTCCTGCATTCCTCCTCATGCACTGCTCCGCTCCATTTTTCTGCCGTCATTTATTCCCCCGTGCACCTTGTCAATCTCTCCCATTAAAATCGAGGCTCGGGTTGGTTTGAATTAATCCCAGCATTGTTATTATTTCATTATCATATGACACAATTCGCCACTCTAAGAATCCTCTTATGTGAGGCGCTTAGGTTGTGGCCGCCGTGTCAACAAGTCACCGTTTAACTTTGGTATTTGTATTTTTCATTTTGATTCATTTCTCTGTGTTAACAGATTGTGAGGTTTACAATATGATCACTACAGCCTTGCGTGTTGACATCCGCGTAGCGCGGCAGACGAGTTAACTGGTATCACTGACAGATTCGTCAGAATAAATCACATTGAGAGCCTTGCCAAACAGCACCGTCTGCCTTGAACTCTGTCACTGAGTGCAGGGTAATTGTGCTGTTTGGGGCTGAAGGTGTGGTGACAGCAGCAGCGCAGGGCAGGCATGTACAGGCAGGCCCGCCGAGCTGCCAGTCTGCTCGGCGGGAATCACACTGGAGGAAAAAGTGTGTGGCGGGGCTGTATGTCAGTCCTCGACGCCTCAACAAACCCCGAGAGCTTCAGCTGGTACGCTCGGGGGGTCAAAGGGATGGGAAGCAATTTGGAGAGAGATTGTTGCTGTTAGCTAGGACCAAAAGAAACATGCCTCAGCTAACCTACTGTACACACCGAGCAGTTTGCAATGACTCTTTATCAGTGCTCTTGGTTTGCCTCGATCCCTCTCACGTCACTTATTTAAAAGTCAAGAGACAACCGTGCACCACTAATCACCAATTCAATCCACCAAGTCATTTTGCATGCAATAAGAACGCCTTTTGTACCATACTGTGTATAAGAAGTAGACGTCATGGTGACGTCACCCCATTGGTTTGTGGACTGCCGTTATGAAGTCTCGACTTGGCTTTTTTACAACTGATGAACAGAAGTGACCATATTTGGAATGAGGAGGAGTGACGTAGAGACGCCGTATACGTCTCTGGTAGAGGCAGCAATCTGTCAATCACAGTAAGCCCGCCCTAAACATCCCCTGCTTTATGGTCTATTTGACTCTAAATGGACGATAATGTACTAAATGAACATCATGCTGTATTGAAGAAGACTTGAAACTAGAGATTGAGACCATAAACTCATGTTTACAATGTTTACTGAGGTAATAAATCAAGAGAGAAGTAGAGTCATTTTCTCATAGACTTCTATACAACCAGACTTATTTTTGCAACCAGAGGAGTCGCCCCCTGCTGGTCAGTAGAGAGAATGTAAGTTTAAGATACTTCTGCATCGACTTCACATGAAAAGCAGATTCAAATATCACGTGACAAGCCAAAAAAATACGTGTTTCTAACTCTATGATGTCATAACAGCAGTGTGGCCATTCAGAAAAAAAGAGTGTTGATATAATATTCCTTCATCTGAAAAACGGAGTCATAGTGGAGAATCATCAGTTACACTGTTACTCACAGTGCTTATTATTGTGTAATAAGGATACTGTAATTATAAATTATATTATAATTACATAGTTGGGTGAAGAAATGAATTCATGTTGATAGAGCAGATCCAGAACGACAAAGCAAAATCTGCTTTAATGATCATTTGTGAAGATGCATCATTATATCAGCATCAGAGTAGGTTTGGGAAATACATTGAAATCATATCAATATTGTGATATGACACTCAATAATAATAATATGGCATATGTGTTGTCTTCCCCTAGTTTTAAAGGCTTCATTACAGTAAAGTGATGGGATTTTCTGAATTTACAACATTGTCGCATAATCGACATCGAGGTATTTGGTCAAAAATATTTTTATCTGAATAGGTGGTTGAATTGTAGTGTTGTGACCTCCCCAGAAGACTGATTATGTTCCCAACTTTGAGAAATGTATAGAAAGCTGTGTGAACCAATCAGGACCAATACGTTTGACTTTTATTTACTGTTGCCAGCAATGGCAACTGGATGTTAAGAGACAAAAGCAGAAATGGAACAAATCAATAAATCACTGCAGTGTTATTTAATATTGCACTTTCATCTCTCAAAAGACAGATTAAAAAATTTCAAAATGAAATCCAAGCAGCCGATGGACAGATATCCTGACTTATACGGCTGAGTAGGGGTCAAGCTACAAAAACACAGGATCCTACATTTCCCATAATGCAACTTGAAAGCATCTTTTCATTAGTTAATTCCTGCCTGTTAAATAGCCATGTCCTTTAATCTACAAACCTCCAGTCTGTAATAGGGGCTCTCTGTTATAAATTTGTGGTCTCCCGACCCTAACGGAGATGATGACATCACTGTGACATCATCAGGGTTATTTCTCCACAGAAGGCATTACGCAGCTGTTTCCTAAGAGTCTACCAGTTCGATCAGGTTGTTTGATTGATTTGTGCGTCCTGCAACTTCTTTGCGATAGTGATAACTTTTCCATAAAGTGGATTGCATTTTGTTTGCACAAGCTGGATAAATACCCAGTAGCCTACTTAACAGATTGTAAAAATTACCCCAAAAATTGTGGTTTAAAAAAGTGTTAAATTTGCAGTCATCAGTTATGTTTGCTGAGCAATTTTCACTGCCAAACATCCATTTCCTTCTTCTATAAATGAAATACCTTCAGGGTTTTAGACTTTTGGTCTGATAAAGTCAGCCATATGTTGCCTTTGGCTGTCAGAAATTGTGACAGCCATTTTCCTTATTCTATGTTTAGTAATTAATTCATTAACTAATTAATCATGAAGCATTATTGTTAGTTGCAGCCCTGTGTCGAGAAATATGAACAACTTTATTCTTTAGACTAAACAATAAAGTGGGCATGTAGTTGTGACCTCTACAGGCCTTTTCCCTTCTCCATGCACCGTGGAAAGTTGTGCACGCACACACACACACCCACACACACACACACTGCTCCCAGGTTATTATTGTTTCACACATCAAACGTGTCTTAAAATGACCATGATTCAGAGCAGCTCTACTGTTTCTAACACCTCTCAGCTGCTCTGACGTCACACGAAACCACAGCCTGTTTGTTTACCTGCAGCTCTGCCTTCAGCCCGTCAGCCAGGATGTGATCACTTTGCCAAATCTCCGCAGCTGCTGAGTCATGTGTAGCGTCCCGCTGCCCGGATGGGGATTTGAATGCTACATTTCATTAGTGTGTCCGTCGTCGCCCTCCTCCTCCTCTTTCTCCTCTTCCTCCTCTTGCCCTGCTCCGACTGGTTCTGCTGCACCTGTGCGCTGCTCCAGGGCTGCAGACTGTGTGCGTGTGTGTGTGTGTGTGTGTGTGTGTGTGTGCGTGTGTGTGTGTTGAGCTTGTAAACTGGCATCTTCCCCAACAGTGGCACATACTCAGTAATTACCACACTGGCTGCGGAAGAATGGTGGCCACACAATGCACTCCAACTCCCACACGGATGCATGCACAGCTGAACCCGATGTTGGAGAAGAAGAAGGAAAGTTGTGTGCGTGCGTGTGTGAGTGTGCATGTGTGTGCGTGCGTGTGTGTGTGTGTGTGTGTGTGTGTGTGTGTGTGTGTGTTCACTCTCATCTTTAGAGGAAGAAATTCAGTTGTCTTAATCTTTTCAGTTACTTATTTCAGTTAAGAAGTTTAACAGTAGAGGTGTAAATGTAAGAGATTCTGTTCTGAAGGGATGGCCAGCAACCCAGATACTGTAAAGTTGCCTATAAGGTTAAGAAAAATGAAATTGATATTTTAGTTCTTAATTCATAAACAAACAAAAAACACCCATAGCTCTGTGAGGCTGTATTTAG